GGCTCTGTGCACAAGGGTGCTGCCATGCTGCAGACTACACTAACATCCCAGCGCGCGGGCTTTCTGCACAAGGGTGCCGTCATGCCGCAGACTACAGTAACATCCCAGCGCGCGGGCTCTGTGCACAAGGGTGCCGCCATGCCGCAGACTACACTAACATCCCAGCGCGCGGGCTCTGTGCACAAGGGTGCCGCCATGCCGCAGACTAAACTAACATCCCAGCGCGCGGGCTCTGTGCACAAGGGTGCTGCCATGCCGCAGACTACACTAACATCCCAGCGCGCGGGCTCTGTGCACAAGGGTGCTGCCATGCCGCAGACTAAACTAACATCCCAGCGCGCGGGCTCTGTGCACAAGGGTGCTGCCATGCCGCAGACTACACTAACATCCCAGCGCGCGGGCTCTGTGCACAAGGGTGCCGCCATGCCGCAGACTAAACTAACATCCCAGCGCGCGGGCTCTGTGCACAAGGGTGCTGCCATGCCGCAGACTACACTAACATCCCAGCGCGCGGGCTCTGTGCACAAGGGTGCCGCCATGCCGCAGACTACACTAACATCCCAGCGCGCGGGCTCTGTGCACAAGGGTGCCGCCATGCCGCAGACTACACTAACATCCCAGCGCGCGGGCTCTGTGCACAAGGGTGCCGCCATGCCGCAGACTACACTAACATCCCAGCGCGCGGGCTCTGTGCACAAGGGTGCTGCCATGCCGCAGACTACACTAACGGGCAGATATCATGTGCTGCAAAAACAGACACAATGGAAACACGGCTGCTTTCCATGAAGAACAAGTAGCAAGATTCCTAAAGAAGAGCAGGGTGCTCCAAACGCATTATGCTTCCAGACACTCTCCCCAGAGGCCCTTTTTCCATGGCTCCTTTCTCCTTTCTGCCCATAAGATCCACATAAGGCCAGGTGTGGCAGCTCACACCTGTAATCCCAGTACTTTCGTAGGCTGAAGGGGACAGATCACTGGAGCTCAGGAGTTCAAGACCAGCCTGGGCAACACAGTGAGACCTCATTTCTACTAGAAATTTTTTTTAAAAATCAGCCAGACATGGTAGTGCATACCTGTGTTCCGAGCTACTCAAGAGGCTGAGGTCGGTGGATTGCTGGAGCCTAGGAGGCGGAGGATGCAGTGAGCCAAGATTGCACCACTGTACTCCAGCCTGGTGACAAGAGCCAAGAGTGAGACACTATCTCAAAAAGACAAAGATGCCTGGAAAAGGATTTTAGGACACCTGCGAAGAAGGAAAGAAGAGGGTGAATGCCTGCTGGAAGGAGCACGCTCCTAACAACTCACACCAGTTGGCTGTGGGACCTGCCCGCCCTCTCCACCTATGTTTCTGCTTCCCACACTGTCTGCCCCTGCCCCACGCTGGGTGTGTGCTGAAAGGCGTGTCTCAGAAGCCCTGAGTCTCTTCATTAAAAGATGCTACGGTTCACCAAAATATCATACACACTCATGGAAACAAAAAGAAGGAAGGGGCTACAACAGAGCAAGGACAAAGAAAGCATGTGGGAGCTCCAAGGACAGCCGACAGCAGGAGCTTCTCTGAAGGCACACCGTAGTCGACAGCACAATGGGAGCATGCGCCGCAGGCAGCTCCCACCCACCCCTGCGAGCAGGGTAAAAGCGCAACAGGAGAAAACGCAATTGGCAGACAGGATAAAGTGCAACTCTGATCTCTGCAGAGACTGGTTATAATGAAGTGACAATTTAAGCAATGCCGTCTAATCTAAGTTTGTGGTGCTTTTGGATGTAGTTCATATTTGCTTCATTGCAATGGGAAAGCCTAGTGACTTACAGGCAAGCTACATGTAAAAAGAAGAGAGCACAAGTGTGTTTGCAAAACACATGAAGTCTCTAAAACGTTTTCCCTGCACTGTGTTACACACAGCAAGCTTAGGTCTGTGACCCCAGGCTTTTCTGGAGGCACCTGAAGCAGGAGGGGCTGGTACCTTGTCCCAGGGGCATGACCGTTGCTGCAGAGGACCTGATTCAGAGGAGGTGCAGCACCACGTGCTTCAAAGGGCAAAGAGCCGGGCTGAGCGCACGCCAAGCAGCTGTGCTGCCCCTTCCTGGTGAGAGCAGGTGCTCGCAGCATTTCACACTGGAAAACAGCCTTCCATGAGGGACGGAAATCTCAGTTCTGCTTATGGCAGGAATAAAACAGAATTCTTGGAATTTCGACACAAATGTGGTGGAACAATTTTGTTTTTCTTCCTCGAGAGGCTGACAGATTAAGGAAGTATTTAACGGAAGAGCTACGCTGCCTTCAAAGACTGGCAGAAAGAGTCGGTCTCTGAAAGCCACGACTGGAAATCACGAGAGCCAGGGTAACCTGAAGGACGCAATCAACTTACAGCAGAAGAAGACCAAGAGTTCTTGGCAATTGTGTTCATTTTCTGTAGCCTAACGCAAAGCCCAGTGACAGTGGGGAGCAGCTGAAGGCGGTCCCTGCAGTCAGCCAGGAAGCAAGCCTGCACCCTACAACCCCAGGAGGCACATCAGGTGAGAGCCCTGACCCAGCGGCCTGGAGACCCCAGGCCAGTGCCTGCCGCTGAAGAGGTGTGTGCTGTTGGAAGCCACTGTGTGTGGGACTCTCCTATGCAGTGTAAAATGACTATGGAAGCAGGGGCCATGGTAACAAATGCCTGAAACGTGGGAGGAGCTCTGGATTCCAGCAGTGGGTAGAGGCTGGAAGATTTCTGAGGAGCCACAGAAAGAGCAGAGCTTGCTTGGAACATCCAGGAGGAAGGCGGGTGCCTGCTACAGGAGCAGAAAGGTGGTGCCCTGCCGCGCCATGGAGGCGCCTCCTGTCATGCTGCGGCTGGTCCTGCACTCAAGGGGTTTCCCGGAGAAGAGGGCAAACGGGCGAAGAGCTGTCTGACGGCAGAGTACCTCCAAGCCCAGCCTCTCCTGCAGCAAAGGTGCTGAAATGAAAAGCCTAACTGATATGGTTTGGGCCTGTGTCCCCACCCAAATCTCATCTCGAACTGTGATCCCCACATGTCAGGGGAGGAACCTTGTGGGAGATGACGGATCGTGGGGTGGATTTCCCCCGTGCTGTTCTCGTGACAGCGAGTGAGTTCTCAGGAGATCTGGTTGTTTAAGGTATGTGGCTGTTCCCACTCTGCCCTCTCTCTCCTGCTGGCTTTGAAGAAGGTCCCTGCTTCCTCTTCACCTCACACCGTGATTGTAAGTTTCCTAAGGCCTCCCAGTCAAGCTTCCTGTTAAGCCTACAGAACTGTGTGAGTCAATTAAACCTCTTCATAAATTACCCAGTCCCAGGTAGTTCTTCATAGCAGTGCGAGAATGGACTAATACCCCGACTGTCAGGAGCGTGTGCCCCTGAGAAAAGGCTGAGGATGGGCCACACCACATGTGGTTAGAGCCTAGGGAAGGTCAGGAGGTCACAGCACAGTCCTAGGAAAAGCCTTTGAAGAAGCCGAGGGAGCGCCTCACCCAGATGAGAGGGTGAAGGCTGAAGGTAACAGGTCAAGGGTGAAGAGACAGTCCCTTGGCCATCTGAGCAGGAGACTGAGGCAGAGAAGAGATCGCCTCTAAAAGGTCTGCAGTTAGGCTCTTGTCTGAGGAAGTGAAGCCCCAGGAAATCTACTGAAGACCCACCGATTCTTGAGAAATGTGTTTCCGCTGAGACACTGTCAGCTGGGCCAATCAGCACAGAGAGCAGACAAAATAAAAGAGACTGTCGGACCCCCAACCTCCCGCTGGCAGGAGGGAGGTGCACAGCCGCACCCAGCCACACACCACACTGCCCTCCAGGTGGAAGGCAGGGCCCCCAGAGGGCAGACACAGGGCGGCTATGAAATTAAAGCAGAAGGAGGGCTGGGCGCAGTGGCTCACATCTGTAAGCCCAGCATTTTGGGAGGCTCAGGCGGGCCGATCACCTGAGGTCAGGAGTTCAAGACCAGCCTGGCCAAAATGGAGAAACCCCGTCTATACTAAAAATACAAAAATTAGCCAGGCACTGTGCAGACACTTGTAATCTCAGCTACTCAGGAGACTGAGGCAGGAGAATGGCTTGAACCCAGGAGGCAGAGGTTGCAGTGAACCAAGATGGTACCACTGCACACCAGCCTGGATGATGAGTAAAACTCCACCTCTAAATAAATAACGTGGAAGGAAACATACACAGAATTTGATGAAAGCAGAGCCTAATCACAGAATTTTAGACCACGGCATCCTGGTGACCTGGCTGATACACCAGCCATGCGATCCCTACATAGTGATATTTTGAAGCCAGGGTAGGAGAGGGAAGATCAGATAGAACGCATTAAAAGTATCTAAAAAGTCATTCAGCCTGTGGGACGAATGATGGCGACACTCTAGAAACTGCATATCGAAAACCAAAAAGACTTTGTTCTGGCTTACACAGCAGAGAAAGATCCTATGAGATATCTCTCCACAGAGACAGAATTTAGAAAGTAGTTGCTGATGATGACAGAATGAGGAGAAATGGGGAAAGGGAGGCTCAGTTCAGCGACTGAGATGTCTGCACTGACACAGGCGCACGGCCCCAGAGCCCTGCGAGCCTGCACAGCCCAACGGCGGCAGGAAGAGGCCTATTGGACACAGCCCCAGCCCACAAGTGTGTGTGCACGGAACTGCTCTCACCAGAGGACTGGAAGACGGTCACCAAGACACTACGGGAAAGAAGCGAACCCTCCTGCTCCCCACAGCACAGTTTCCGCATCAGGACACCGGTGTCTGCCTCGTAAGAACCTCCGGCACCGTCCTCCCCTGACCGAGGGGTCAAAGGTCCTGGAACGGCTGATTCCAGCCTCAATTCTTAGAATCTTAAGATCCCAGTAATTTCTGCAAACATCTCACAACAGCACAGCTTATCGGTGTATGCAACACCCTCATTAATGGTTAAATCTTTTAAGTCATGGGTCAACCCATTAGCAATACAAAACCAGTCTCACAAATTACCTCCGGTTACCAAATTACCTTAGAAAAGCCGCACTTACTTCTATTGTAGCAGGTCGCCAGCACGCCTCTGTCTGCAGGACTCGCACTGATGTGCCAGATTTCACCCGCTTGATGGAGGAGGACTTTTTTATTTATCATGTTATTTTCATCGTCAAAGTCTATGATGTGGATCTACAAACACAAGGAAAGAGCACATCAGTATCTCAGACACGCTCCGCAGTGCCTACATTCACATCACGATCACCAAGAAGAATCACATGCCCATTTCATGACAGACACAGCTTCAATTAACTTATTATGCCAACAGCATGGACTCCTGTCATTTAATTCTTACTGGACTCCTCTCCAAAGGTAAGATAGGAAAATCCCTGCGGAGCATTTTTTATTGCAAGCTGCGGAAGACTGCCCTCTGCTCATATCCAGTCTTAAAGAAATGAGGCTCCAAACGCTGTGTCCCCAAGTGGCTCTAAGACTGAGCCTGTGCTGGTGCCAAGGCCAGAGCTGCCCAGGGCTGTCCATGTCGGCAAGGTCCTCCCAGCCTGCTACAAGGCTTCCGGGGAGGGCAGGGGCAGCAGGGTGCGGCTGCTGGGGAGGGCAGGGCAAGGCTGCCTAATTAGGTCTGGGGCTGACCCTGCCTGGCCCACTCTATCTGTATGGGCAGAACTCAACCCATGCATCAGACATGAGTAGGGCGGGCGAGGGTGCGAAGGGGGTGTATGCTCACATACTTCCATCTTCTTTTGAAAACCAAGTCCCACAGCCACTGGTACCTATCATCTTATGATATTAATTAGTATAACATTTTAGCCACTGCATAAAAAAGTTAAATATACTGTCTCCCTGCTTTCCAGGATAATTTCGAGAGGAATTAAAATGATTTCACATTTAATTTCTTACCAATACCTGAGTCAATGAGAAAGCATAAATCCCTTTAAATGTGTACTAAGAAAATACTCATGGATCTGCACAAAAGGTTTATATCCAAGTGCGTTTACTATTGCAACAACTATTGTGATAAACAATTAGAAGTCACCCAAATGTTTGGTCATAAGAAACGATTCAAATAAACTGCAAGTACTTCACGGTAACGTGTCATCACGAGGCCGCTCAGCGTACTTCACGGTAACGTGTCATCGCCAGGCCACTCAGTGTACTTGACGGTAACGTGTCATCACGAGGCCGCTCAGCGTACTTCACGGTAACGTGTCATCGCCAGGCCGCTCAGCGCACTTCACGGTAACGTGTCATCGCCAGGCCGCTCAGCGCACTTCACGGTAACGTGTCATCACGAGGCCGCTCAGCGTACTTCACGGTAACGTGTCATCGCCAGGCCGCTCAGCGCACTTCACGGTAACGTGTCATCGCCAGGCCGCTCAGCGCACTTCACGGTAACGTGTCATCACGAGGCCGCTCAGCGCACTTCACGGTTATCACCAGGCCGCTCAGCATACCTGACAGTAACATGTTATCACGAGGCCGCTCAGCGTACTTGACGGTAACGTGTTATCACCAGGCCGCTCAGCATACCTGACAGTAACATGTTATCACGAGGCCGCTCAGCCCACTTCATGGTAACGTGTCATCACGAGGCCGCTCAGCGTACTTCACGGTAACGTGTTATCACCTGGCCGCTCAGCGTACCTGACAGTAACATGTTATCACGAGGCCGCTCAGCGTACTTGACGGTAACGTGTCAGCGCCAGGCCGCTCAGCGCACTTCACGGTAACGTGTCATCGCCAGGCCGCTCAGCGCATTTCACGGTAACGTGTCATCGCCAGGCCGCTCAGCGTACTTCACGGTAACGTGTCATCGCCAGGCCGCTCAGCGTACTTCACGGTAACGTGTCATCGCCAGGCCGCTCAGCGTACTTCACGGTAACGTGTCATCGCCAGGCCGCTCAGCGTACTTGACGGTAACGTGTCATCGCCAGGCCGCTCAGCGTACTTGACGGTAACGTGTCATCGCCAGGCCGCTCAGCGTACTTCACGGTAACGTGTCATCGCCAGGCCGCTCAGCGTACTTCACGGTAACGTGTCATCGCCAGGCCGCTCAGCGCACTTCACGGTAACGTGTCATCGCCAGGCCGCTCAGCGCACTTCACGGTAACGTGTCATCGCCAGGCTGCTCAGCGCACTTCACGGTAACGTGTCATCACCAGGCCGCTCAGCGCACTTGACGGTAACGTGTCATCACCAGGCCGCTCAGCGCACTTGACGGTAACGTGTCATCGCCAGGCCGCTCAGCGTACTTCACGGTAACGTGTCATCACCAGGCCGCTCAGCGCACTTGACGGTAACGTGTTATCACCAGGCCGCTCAGCGTACTTGACGGTAACGTGTCATCACCAGGCCGCTCAGCGCACTTGACGGTAACGTGTCATCGCCAGGCCGCTCAGCGCACTTCACGGTAACGTGTCATCACGAGGCCGCTCAGCATACCTGACGGTAACATGTTATCACGAGGCCGCTCAGCATACCTGACAGTAACATGTTATCATGAGGCCGCTCAGTGTACTTGACCGTAACGTGTTATCACCTGGCCACTCAGCGTACCTGACAGTAACATGTTATCACGAGGCCGCTCAGCATACTTGACGGTAACGTGTTATCACCTGGCCGCTCAGCGTACCTGACAGTAACATGTTATCACGAGGCCGCTCAGCGTACTTGACGGTAACGTGTTATCACCTGGCCGCTCAGCGTACCTGACAGTAACATGTTATCACGAGGCCGCTCAGTGTACTGGAGAATACTTAGTGGCATGGAACAACGTCTGTAACACACATTTCAGGAGAAGAGAATGTATGAAAAAAATAAGGCAGAAAGCAATGAAAGAAACCGTGTGAATGCTACACCCTTCTTTTGTTTGTTTGTTTTAAAAAAGTATGCCTGTCCAAAAAAGAGAACTGGCAGGTACGTGAGCAGTGCCAAAATGCAGGGATTAGCAGTGGTTTTCCTTTACTTCTTTGTGCCTTATTTGTATTTCTAACATTTTTTGCCTAATTAGGTCTGGGAATGACTGTGCCTGGCCCACTCTGCAATACTTTTGCAATAAAAACAAACATTAAATGCTGTTTTTAAACTGTCCCCAGGATACCCAGCAGCACCTACGCATCATCCATGCCTCAGATGGCCCTTTCATTACTTCAACTGCTCTTCCAAGGATCTGATACGGTTTGTGTCCCGTCCAAATCTCACGTCAAACTGTAATCCCAGGGTCGGACGCGGGGCGTGGTGGGAGGTTCTGGCTTACGAGGTAGAGAAACAGATCCTATGAGACACCTTTACTGTGGGTGATGGGAGATGGGCCTTCACCAATGGGTTAGCACCATCCCCACTTGGTAATGTCCTCATGACAGTCAGCTCTCCTGAGACCAGGTCATTCAAAAGTGAGCGGCACCCTTCTCCCCGCTTGCTCCTGCTTCCGCCACACGATGTGCCTGCTCCCTCTTCAGCTTCGGCCATGATCGGAAGCTTCCTGAGGCCTCCCCAGAAGCAGATGTTGCTGTTTCCTGTACAGCTGCAGAACTGTGAGCCAATCAAACCTCTGCTCTTTATATATTACCCAGTCTCAGTTATTTCTTAACAGCAGTGTGAGAACAAACTAACACAAGGTCCCCCTGAGGAGTCATTCTGGACTTGCTCAGAGGGGAGTTCATACTCAGCCACTGCACAGAGCCTGGGAGCTGAACCGCGGTCTCCCAGGAGTGCGGCAGTGCCGCCAGCACCCGGGCCTGGGGCCAAGGAAAAGCCAGATGTGGCTGGCCTGCCCGATGCAGAGCAGGGGCCCAGTGGGCACACCCGCCTGCGCTTTCCAATCAGGGCCCGTGGAGGTTTTCACAGCAGGTTCAAAACCATTCCCAGTGAACAGCTTCCAATTACAAACCACACATCTAAGAACCAGGGAAACGAACATAGCATTTGTTTCTATACATGAACGTTTATTGCATGCTTTTTCCTTTTCATGCCCAAGGAAAGTTTACCTATAAACAGATTTTCCCTCTGTGGACCTGGTACACATTTTGTATTATTAATTAATTATTAAGTAATTACTAAGTGATATCGAGAAAAATATTTGGTAGAAATACATATGTCCTATGACCCCACATCACTACAATTGGGGATGGGCCCTAGAAACCCCCAAGAAAAGGCAAGGGCAAGAATTTTCACAGCAGATATATTTATAATAGCCGAAAGCAGCAAACATCTCAGATGTTCATCAGCAATGGGCAGGCCGGGCGCCGTGGTTCACACCTGTAATCCCAGCACTTTGGGAGGCCAAGGTGGGCAGATCACTTGAGGTCAGGAGTTTGACACCAGCCTGGCCAATGTGGCGAAACCCTGTCTCTACTAAAAATATAAAAATTAGTCCCAGCTACTCAGAAGGCTGAGGCAGGAGAATCACTTGAACTCAGGAGGTGGGGGTTGCAGTGAGCCAAGGTCACACCACTGCATTCCAGGTTGGGAAACAGACTGGGACTCTGTCTCAAAAAAATAAAATAAAATAATAAAACACAACCGAATGGGTAAATCAGTTGTGGTATATTCACAAATGCAATTCTCCTGGTAATGACAAGTGACAACACACGCACAGACAGCGCTGAGTGAGAACAATCAGACACAAGGAGGAGCACCTTGTGTGATGACCTGAGGCAGAACCAATGGGGTAACAACAGAGACCATCACCGCAGGCCTGCAGCTGGCCCAGACTCCAAGAATCGGAGGGGACCGCTAGGGGGCTCTCCACGGCTGTGGCACAGGTGCAAGTGGCTGTGGGTGGGTGTGCATGCAGGGGTGCACCTGTGTGTGGGAGCATTGGTGTGGCCTATGCATGTGCGTGGGTGTATGGGAGCATGGGTACGTGGCCCATGTCTATATGTGCGTGAGTGTGGCTATGGGGGAGGTGCACGTGTGTGGGGGGGGAGGTGCACGTGTGTGGGGGTGGATGTGGGCAGGTGCAGGTGTGTGTGTGTAAGGGAGTGTGTGGGGGTCTGTGGGCACATGGGTATGGGAGGTGGACATGGGTGTGAATGCATGTGTGTGCAAGTGTGGGTGTGGGGCAGGTGCAGGTGTGTGCAAGGGTGTAGGTGCATGGCTGTGTGGGTGTGTGGGAGTAAGTGGGTGTGGGGAATTGGTGCATGCATGTATAAAGATGCCCCCAGTTGTACATT